CTCTCTCTCTCTCTCTCTCTCTCTCTCTCTCTCTCTCTCTCTCTCTGGCGCCGAGCAAACACTGCCCTCCACTGCTCAGCTCTGGTACTGCAAGGCTGTGGGGCCCTGGGGAACCCCGGGTGCTCACCTGGGTGTAGCATAGCCAGCCCCACACCAGCTTCGCCCAGGTTGTTGTTTTGTTTCATTTGGCATTTCTTGCCCATCTGTTGGCACCAGCTGCCTCTAGATGAGGAACTCTGTGACTTTGTCACTGGTGGCGGCCGGCCCTGAGTTTGGAGCCCTCAGTCACTGTAGGTGAGAATAAGCATCAACAACAACTGTTCCCAGCCTCTTGCCATGACTATCCTATCTCCTCAGTCCTGTCCCTTCAGTATAGAAACACGCTCGTTTATTCTTTCCCGGCCGCGCAGCCAGCCTCCTCCAAAGCCCCACCCCCTTGCCTCCAAAGGGGCTGGAAGGGCCGAGCGGGGGCCATGGGGCAGCACGGCCTTCTCCCCGGCCTCCTGGCGCCAGGCTGGCACTGTCCTGGAGGGAGAGACGGCACCCATGCCTGCACGGCCCTGCCCTTTGGCCTGGCCTCACATCTCTGCAAGGCCCCCAGCTCCTCCCGGGTCTGCTCAGGCATGCGGGTCAGGTGGTGCGGTGTGGACACTGAGCGGGCCCCTGTGGCTTGGCCCACCCTGCGGCATTAAAATCAGATTCTTGATTTTTTTTCTCAGCTGTGCTTCACGTGACTGAGTTCAGTTCCGTAAGAATTTCCAGTATCTCATCCTGGTGTGCAGCTCTCTGCATGCAGACTCGTGCTGCCATAGCTCGGACACGTCCTTAGCTAGTATGCTTTTGGATCGATTTATCTTACTATTGATACGTGTTTCAATATTGGTGTTGGTCGTAGATGTGGATGGGACACTCCAGTGTTGCTTTAACCCGTTTTGACCTCAGTAATAATTCTGTTTTCCATGACTAAGTTATAGTCATGTGCTTTTCTGATTACAAGATGGGATATGTGTTCCACGGGGAACATTTGGACATTACAGAAAAGCATGGAGGAGAAACCAGTAGTGCCATCATTCCGAGATAACCAGCTAGCACTCTGATTATTGTCTTCCAATGTGTGTATCTACAGAACAAAATTGGGCTCACACGCTATATACTGCTTTGTATTTGTTTTATTTTTTTTATAGTTTCAGCTGTATATGACTGTACACTCAATTTCAGAAATAATGAAAATCCAACATTGCTGGGAGTCCTAAATGGAAAGAAATACCACGCCGATTTATATGTGAGGTAAGTTGGCTACGTTTCCTTTCCAGAAGAGAGAGCGTCCACCTCCAAGTAAATACATCACAAGTGGCCCGCAACCCTTCTTCCAGGGAAGCCCAGCTGAGGTTTTCTTGTGTGCAGCCTGTATTGAGTTGAACCTGTTCACAGTCTGTATTTATATTATGAGCTCAGGAGACTCACGCCACTGTTGTAAATAATCAGGTGAGTCCCTGGCTCTCGACTACTTCCTGGTCCTCTCTCGCCATCTCATTCTGACCACAGAGCTCAGGTGGAAGGCCATATTATCCAGTCGTTTCGAGACAGAGTGTGAAGGGATTGTTTCCTTGGAGGATGTGTCTACTGCGTACAAAGACACAGATAAGTGCGTGTGTAATTTAAATGGAGGTCAAGAAGCAAACGGAGAACATTTTAGCAGTGTCTCCCTTACGTGGTGCAGTCCAGGAGATTATGACTTTATTGAAAACACTTCACAAGGTATTAGAAAAGCCAGCTCTCTTCGTCTGTTTATGGGCGTATAGAAGGGCCTGACCCTTGCCGTCTGCCCTGTCACTGAGATTAGTGGGGAGCAACTGAGAGACGTGGCAGACAGTAAAGCGATGGGATTTGTGCGGTAAGCACACATGTGACGGGGTGAGGGGCGGCACCGGGCTTCCCGGAAAATGAGCCAAAGCCATGCGAAACGCACGGTCGCAGCACCAGCCAGTGTCCTGTACACTCTGATTAGTTTTTCAAGACCTGACAGATGCCAAATTACAACACAGCACAAGGAAAATTCAGTGCCTGGTCATCACCACCAGGCTGTAGAAAGAGCTCGAACCTTCCTGGTGAGATGTGTTGGAAGACTGACAGCCTAAGTGAAATAGCCTTCTACCTCGAAGCGACTCTGGCTACCCCTTAAAAATGGGAAAGAGGCCTCATAAACTACTGCTTTCTTTGCTAACGCCGCAGTCAACAGTCTGGCTTATCAGTCGGTTGTGTGGCCTACGAGGGCAGGAAAAGCACCTGCCTTCCCAAAGGAGGCCTTTTCCCAGAAGTGAAGGGAGGTTTTGTCCCCCCGAGTTCCTTCAATACCTGGCAGAGCCCCACTTGGTGGCCAGCTGGGCCTGAGATGTTTGGGAAACCGAAACAGTCAGGATGCAAGCTTATTTGACCTCCCCAAGGCCACTGCTCAAGTAACGGCACCTCTCGGAGCACAGGTAGGAATTGGGCAGGAGACAGCCAAAGTCCTACCCAGCTCGCCCACTGAAGCCAGTCCGCTCTGATGGCCTCAGAGGACGATTACTCATGCCAGTCAACACACCCCTCTCTTTGGTGTGGTAACTGCCCATTAAAAACGATAATTTATCACATTCTACTTCAGCCCTTGCCAGCACCAGCCCGGGCCGCCCTGGGATCTCTCATCTACTACTGGTGGGCAAAGTGTCTGAGCCACTGAGCCAGGGGAGGGTCCCCTGGTTTTTCCCATTGAGGAAGGGACATTAGTTCCCCTCCTTTTATTTGGCAAAAAGCTTGCAGAAAGTCTGCGTCAACACTGCCCAAAGGAATCGCATGCTGGGAGACACTGCATTGTTACCTGGCTGAGAAAAGTACGAGCATATTATCGCCTGTACTTAGATTCTGTCGTATTGGCCTAGCTCGTTGGAAACTTGGGCAGCGTCGCCCTCTACTGCAGAGGCAAACATCAAGTGTCCAGAGCCCCTCCACGAGGTGCGGGGGAGAACGGAGGCAGGCGACCTCCCGGCTATTCCTTCCTGGGCCCTGGCTCTGTGCAGGCCTGCATGTCCCCGACACGGATACGGAGTTCCCCCGTTTCTGGCAGTTGAATTGCCCTCTTCACTTCCTCATGACCTAGGCTACCTACATAGAGACCGAAAGACGGCAAGCGTGGTTATTTTGAAACCATGTTCGGGGTGCCTGGCGTTGGGCCCCTCCTGCTAGCTGCTCTCTCTGCCTTGCAGGCGGATTCCTCTAGAAGAGGTCCCAGAGGATGAGGACGAGTGTTCAGCCTGGCTCCACAAGCTGTACCAGGAGAAGGTGAGCACAGCGGGCGGCTCTGCGGGACCCAAGGAGCCATTTCGAGTCGCAGTCGTGGGCGCGCTGTGGGGCCTTTGGGAGCTGACGGTGGTAGCCAGCTTTTCCCGTTGGGTGTGAGCTCACACCCAGCTACCACCGACCCTGGAGCTGATGATCTACGTGGCAACAGGGAAAAGAACATAGCAAACTATTTTTTAGAGGGCTTCACAGACAAAACGGAACTATTTTACACTAGTGAACAGAAAAGGAAGGCCCAACAGTCCTTGGGTAGTTTCCTGCCTCTGGGCCGAAGGCAAAAATGTCCGTGAGATGGGCTGTTCCCCTTAGCAATGCACAGGACCTTGGTGGCTTCTGGGTCCACAATCTGGCTGCCTGTCTGGTCTCAAAACATGAGCGGCATAAGCCAGGAGAAGCCCCACACGGTCCGCCCTGGCTGGCTCTGACCTGCTGCAGGGGCTCCCCACTCCGGTATGTGGTCTAGCTCCCCGGGGCCCCCCCGTTTGTTTTTCCTTCCTCTGAGCAGGGACGCTTCTTTCATTGGTTTCTCGCCTTCAAGACATGCGCAGGGCAGAGGGAAGCTAATTATTAATGCCCCAATAACTGCTTGGTCCTACAGACGGAGAAAAATTTAGCTTCACCCTGGCGAGGAGGCATGTTTATGAGCAGGTCTCACCACACAGAAAACACTTCTGATCCATCGGACATTTTAAGCCCAAACCAGCTCGTTAGCTAGAATCAGATACATTTGCTAGGATTCTGATATCCTTTTGCCAAGTTCCACAAGTACAGGCTGGCTGGCATCGGCTGTCTTCTCTCCCCATCCCCCACGAGAAGACAATCACAGAATTTTATGGGCCCTCCATGACTACTGAGTAAGAATATTAATCCTGCCTTGAGAATGTCAGGAATTTGGTGCAAATTACCGCCATCAGATTAAGTGAGGCGCTGTTAGGCATCTGCTCAATTTCTGGAACAAAGGTCCTGAGATTCTCTCAGCATGAAGTCACTCCTGTGTTCCTATTTCCGGTTATACCTGGGCCCGGGCTTCCCCACTCACCTGTGCACCCCACGGCCTCCTGCTGGGACTGACAGGAAAGGCCCTGCAAACCGCTTAGCGACACGCACACCTGGGGAGATTTAGACACGGACCGGCAGACTTGTGGAATTTAGTTTCAGGTGGGCTGTCAGATGAGAATCGCTCCAACAAGTCAGGGCAGGAGCCTGTCGACCTTTCTAGCTGTCTCCATCGTTACAATAGTCGCTTGATCCCACAGGAGAGAGGCCCAGAGAGCAGGGCCGCTGGTACTGGCCAGGGCGGGCACCCAGTCCTCATGCTCCCCAGACCCCTGCCCCACAGCCTGGCAGCACAGGCTGGGTGCCACTGGGACCCAGTGGGAACCCAGGTGTGGCCGACACAGTGTGGCGGTGCTGGTGTCGTGGCTTGGGCACAGGAGGGTCAGCTCACGGCTGCCCGGTCCCCTCCGAGGCTCAGGCCCCCACTCTGTCCTGCGGGTGTTCCCCGAGTGCCAGGTCTCATTTCATTCCCCCACCAACCCATCTAGACAGCATAACCACCTGCCCTGCAGACCCGCACCTGGGCCTCAGGCTGGTCGCCTGCCGAGTCAAGTAGGTAGTAAGGAACAGGTTGGTACAGAACTGGGCTGGCTTGAGGCCAAAGCTGGAGCTCCGACGCCTGGACTGTGTCAGAGCCGCCGTGGTCCTGCCTCTCCACATGTCACCATGGGAAGGGGACAGCCACTTGCAGCACTGTGAAGACACGCCTTCTGTGGGGTGCTGCAGGCCCCCGTTTTGCTGGTCCCATGGCAGCCCCCAGGGGCCTCTGAGCTACCCTCAGAAACAGGGCCTCGGGAGGAGCCTGCAGGAGCCTGAATCGTGTCTGAGTACTCGGGTCCCTCTCTGTCCCCAGGACGCCTTCCAGGAGGAGTACTACAGGACGGGCACCTTCCCGGAGACGCCCATGGTGCCCCCGCGCCGGCCCTGGACGCTGCTGAACTGGTTGTTCTGGGCCTCGCTGCTGCTGTACCCTTTCTTCCGGTTCCTTGTCAACATGGTCAGCAGCGGGTCTTCCCTGACACTGGCCAGCTTTGTCCTGGTCTTCTTTGTGGGTAGGTGGAGGGCAAGAGGCTGGCGAGGGGCGCTGGGCACGGGAGGGGTGCAGGCCGAGTGGGGACCACTCAGCATGGCTGTCGTGCTGTCTGGAGAGAAGCACAGCCTGCAGGTTGCCAGGAAAAGTAGGTGGCAGGTCCCACGTGCACACACATCCGGGTGCCCACCCAGCCTCTCGCCCAGCGCTGGGCTCCCGCCTGCTCCCTGCGGGTGGCAATGCAGCACGTCCCCGGCCTCTGCAGACAGCTCTGCTCCTTAGAATCACTTCCTCCATGTCATGAGGAAAACCATTTCCTGGGCCCAGCGGGAACTGACGGAGGAGGCTCTCTGCCATCCAAAGCAGGCGCAGGCCCTCGGGGGAAGTGTGTGCTTCTTGGTGCCACAGGCACTGACGTCATCGAATGGAGGCGTTCAGTACCTGAGTTGTTCACGACTCCTACCGGCTGTCTGACCAGGAGTTTCAAACTACTGCCATTTCTTCCTCCTGCCATACCTCCCTGACGCTGCCACTTGTGGGGCAGCCAGGTGCCACCGCGCTTGCTTCTTGCCCTATGACTAGGGGAACCTGTGCTTCCTGGAGCTGGAGGGAAACGTGGGGCTGTCCCTGTAACAAGGAACCCCGCTGCCGGCCCCTCAGAAATAGCCCCACCTCCCCGAGTCTGCAGAGCAAGACACTCTCCCCAAGTGACACAGGGTCCCCAGGGGCTTGGGAGGAAGTGACTGCTTTGTCTCCCTGGCCCCCCAGACCAAGGCCTCATCACCCTTGAGCCCGAAGCTTATTACACTTTGCCCTGAATCCCTGTTTGTCTTGTTCTTCTTCCCAGGCCTGTGAGCAGTGGGGTCTGTGTTTTAGCACCTCTTTTCTCTATGGTATGTAGTCACCATGGAAGTTCTCATGCCGGGACAGGGGCTCCTGTCGCCGTCTCTTCAGAGTTGGCCCCAGGCTGCGGTCTGCCCCTTTGTCCTGACCCACGGGACGCGAGGGCCTCATACCGGCTGGACTCACCCATCCCGGTCAGCTCTAACAATTCACAGACCGGAGCTAACGCTCTGTAAACGTGTCTTGGAGATGTCAGTCATTACCCAGCTGTCCATTCTTAGACGCCTATTATAAAGGGACTGTTTGCCAGGCCCCGTGTTCAGTGATGGGCACATCACGGTGATTAAGACATGGTCCCTGCACCCAGGGAGCTCGAGTGTGCCCTCTCCAGGGGGCGCTAAAACCAGCTGCTGGGCGTCCTGGTGGGTAAACTGGGCTCTCCCGCGGTGCCTCTGCTCTGTTTGCACCAAATCGCACTTTTGGGGGAAAGGCTTCCAAAGGCGACGGGACGTGCTGGGCACCAAATAGGTATTGAGTGCTTACATTCTCCAGGCGCCCGCTGTGTCTTTATTCAGTTTCACTGAAGAGTGCCCTGTGCGTCCCACCCTGCAGGCACAAAAGGCCGCTCTGCCTCAGGGATCACACAGGAAGCAGAGTTCTGTATGCCCTGCTTACCAAATTCTGTTCACTCCAGTGTCGAAGGATTAAATCCTGCCAACAGCAGAGTCGTGTTGTTTGTTTTCATGTCCCTCAGTCCAGTAAGACCCCTGAAGCCCTCACTCACGGCTAACTGGATGGCGGGGATTAGGAAACGGCACCCCAGATCCGCCAGCTCTCGGCTGCTGCTTGAGATGAGCAGACAGCTGCCTTCGTAGGGCTCTCGTCAGCATCTCCCTGGAGTCCCCACAGGCCCCTGACACCCTGTCCCTCCCGTGTCTGCAGCCTCCATGGGCGTTCGATGGATGATTGGTGTGACAGAAATTGACAAGGGCTCTGCCTACGGCAACGTGGACAGCAAGCAGAAAAAGAGCGACTGACCCAGGACACGTGCCGTCCAAAGGGGACCTTGGGGCACTGGTGGACGCTGCCTATCATCCTTGCTGGGACCCAGTGACGAAGCTGGGTGAGCCCCTGCTGGGAACGCCGGGAGTCTGGGCTCAACACCTGGATGGGGAGGAAGATGAGCTTCCATCTTTTCTTCCCTCTGCTTTGGTGGGTTTCAGTTCTCCTCGTGTGAGTGTGAGAGAGAGAGAGAGCGCGAGTGTGCGTGCGTGCGTGTACGTGTGTGTGTGTGTGTGTGTGTGTGTGAGAGGGAGAGAAAGAACACACAGACGTGAGAACGACATGTTGCTGAGTGTGAGCCTTGTCCGTGACCATTCGGAGGGTGTGAGGTGCAGGGGGCGGGCAGGGATGGGGCGCAAGGGGGAGTGTCCCCTTTCATCCTTTGGTGCTGTTTTCTGTAACCCTGATTGCCAGAGACAGAGTGAAAGGCGCTGTAGGTAAAATGAATAAATTATGCCTCCAAAAACAAGTTGGTTTTGTTCCTCTGCGGTGTTTACTCAGACCACTCGCCCCTCCATTCCGCCCCCACCGCATCTGGTGTTCCTTGCCCCAGTGAGCCAGATGGTGCTCTCTCGGGGACTGGGGGAGAAGGATGCGGCATGGCGATGGCAGTTCCTGGGGGGTGCATGTGCCGCCCCGATGACCACTCCCAGCAGCAGACACGATGCAGGGCCCGTGAGCATTTGTTTAAGGAAGACGGCAGGTGCTGAGTGCATCTGTGTGACACAGCGACAACTTAAGGCTGCTTTGGTTTTCCCAATCTCCCTGCAGTGGAGTCTGCCTGGCCTACATGGTAAAGGGGTGCCCAACTCCCTGAAGAAACTGATCTTGAAACTGAATGTATAAATGAAGGTTGGCCATTCTGTCACAGTCTGAGAGATGATTTTTCATCCTCTGTTGATCTCAGTAGCAAGTGGAAACTGGGTCCCCCAAACAATGCAGAATCACTTTATAAAACCACCACGCAGGGTCAGACGCGCAAACGCCGGGACACAAGGAGCCACTGGGCTTCTGCTTTCCTTCTGGAAGCCCAGAGCTTTGTGCCACAGGTCTGCTCCTTGGCATTTGGCCTTCGGAGAATGGGCCCCACAAAGGACTTCTGCAAACTGCTGCCAATCAACAGACGCCAAATGCAAAACCATGAAGGGAGAAAGGCAGTTATATTTCCAGGGAACGGTTTCGGGCTGGACACTACGTCCTCTCAGGCCTAGACGCGCTGGCATCTGGGCTCACGGCATTTGCAGGCACGAGTGCTGAACAGGCCACGCCTTCCTCCCGCGTAGCACGTGTGCCCACGCAGGCCAGTCTGCTGTGGCCGTATAAGGGGTGGACTTGGACGAGCCGTACGTAAGGCACATTCGATTCAGAATCATGCTCTCCTGTTTGCGCACTTACTTAGCCATTGAGTGTTTACCAAGCACAACCCAACTGGAGACGCCAGGGAGTGATGGGAGAACTCGAGAGAGGCTCTCTGCTTCGATACACGACAGTCGTGTCACTGATCCAAATCCCAGACGTGAAAGGGGAACAGCTTCTGGCTCGGAGTGGGAACGGAGTATCGTGAGGCCAAGGCCTGAGTTGCTACCCACCAGCGTCCCTGAGCGCAGGGGTGATGGCTGTGCATTTGACACCCTGCATCAGGCCGTGTGCCGGTTTCAAAGGCAGCCTTCCCACAAGGCACACAGGACAGATTCGCGGGCATAAGGCCGGCACAATCGCCTCAGGCACGAGAGGGGCCAGTGGAGCAGCGCAGGTGGGAGTTTCTGTGTGTCGGCCGCACCCGGTGTGGGGGCCGCCCTCCGCCAGGGACCTGAGTGGAACGGTTGGCAATTTCGGGCCTGCTCTGAGCTGCAGTTCACCTCACGGAATTCTGCAGTTGACTCACTATAAGACCTTGGCCAAGCCGTTGTACCTCTGAAGTCCCAGTGTCCCGTCTATAAAGTGGGGATAACACCTACCGTATTTCCCCATGTATAAGACGCTCCCATGTATAAGACGCACCTTAATTTTGGGGCCTGAAATTTGAAATAAAATGTATTACATAAAGTTACTGAACTCAAGTTTTATTCATCATAAAACTCATACAACTCCTCATCACTGTCAAAACTCCCAACCATTAGCTTGTCCTCATCTGTGTGTGATGACCAATCACTGTCTTCATATATTGCCTCTCATGGCCTTCTTCTGCCATGGCGTTTTCAGTAGGGTTTCTGCTTCCCGTAGCCAATCTCGGATTGTTTTCGCAGTTGGAGGAGGACCAAACTTACGTTCAGCAGCACGATTTCCATTCACTTTTGCAAACTGGATCACTTTTAACTTGAATTCAGCACTGTACGAACATCTTTTCTGAGCCATTTCTGGGCAGAATATGGCAAAACGTAACCTACCTTAATATACTGGTAACAAGTACGAAACAATAAGCGCAAAGACAAGCGTGAAAAAGCAGGAAATGCAAGTAAAAAATCTACAACCACTGTATAAGACACACCCAGTTTTTAGACCCCAAATTTTTTGGAAAAGGGTGTGTCTTATACATGGGGAAATACCATACCTTATGGGTTTTAAGGGTAAATGAGGCAGTATGTGTAAACACACTTTAGGAATCTTAAAGCACTAAATGAATAAGGTACAAAAGATTAGGAAGTTGCCTCCATGTTGCTACTTCCCAAAAATGCTCAGAAATTACATTGATGTGTCCAAAAATGTGTCATTTTTCTCACTGTCATCCTCCCATTCAATGTGGTGGCAATCTAAGTTCTAATGTTATAACAACGCCCCCAAACACCCTCAACCTGGAATTTAAAAGAGGTCCATAGACTGAATTGTTTTGTTTGGCTCTCGACCAAACAGAAAACATAACAAGGAAACACACACAGCCCCCTCACCTGCGCCTCGGGTCCGCGTTGGGGGAAGGCGGGTGAACATTCTCTGGGAGAGCAGATCAGTGTCCTTTTTAAAACTGCCTGAGAAAAACGAGAGACCGTGGGGTGCTGGGGTGGGATCCTGACGTCCGTATCAGTGTCTGGCCCATCCACGAAGTAACATCTTGCTAGGCGTGTGTGGGCCTGGTAATGGCAGAGACGGCATGGTGCCCCAGAAAGACCCGTCACCCCTCCCGCATCCCTGAAACTCAGGGCCTCCCTCAGTCCTAACACTGCGCCTCACGGCTCAGGCCAGCCCTGCTGACATGCAGTGGGGACAGACAAGGACAAAGTTTACTGGATTGGACAGCAATGCGGCAGCGTCCTAGAGGTCCCCACAGCTTGGGGGCAGGGCGTTTATTTAATGTGCTTCCTCCAGGAAACCAAGCCCACAAAGTGACTTCCATCACTGAACAGCACCATGCAGTGGCGAGGTTTGCCTCGGGGCAACCACTGTGCTCTGACGTCGCCTGTCACCGCGTGTACGTTTTCAGGGAGAACACAGCCTTTTCATGGAATCATGTGCTAGTAAAGGAATACCTCTCGACCGCCATATTTGCTAAATAAATGCATGCCAAGCCTTGTAAAACAGCTACAGGTATTTAAAAATTAAAAACATAGTGTTTTTCTAATATGGTCAGAAGTGGTTTAGATGTAAAAGCCTATGATGATTAACTGTCCAGCCAAAACATAATAGTAGATGGTCGGACAGAAAAAGGGGCCCCGGCCGCTTCTGCTTTCGTTCCTGGCAGAGTGGAACGGTGGTCTGGCTGGTCCCCAAGCACAGCCCAGGCTTTGCAGAGGCTTTCGAACCAGTGGGAAGAAAGGTATCTGGAAATGCTCGGCGGTCTCTGTTCCACGCTCACAGCAAGAGGTCTCACCCAGCTTTCTCTAACGTGCCGGTCAGATGTTTCCCCCATTTGCTAACATGAGAACACACACCGGGTCCAACAGTGCCTGAGCCTGGGTGCACCAGTGTCAGGGCCACTACCTGCTTCGTGCTTCAAAGACCGCGGAGGCAACATGACCACAGCTCTGCCCACCTGTCCTTCCCCAGAGCTTCCAGGAAGGGCCCTCGCCAGTGACTATGACAGGCTGTCCTGCTAGGTACCAGTGTTCATTCCCTTCAGCAGCTCCGTCTCACGATGTCTCGGCGGAAGCAGCTCTCTCGTTCTGTTCACTGAATGAGTAGAGCTTATAGCACATTCAGTGACGTGGTGGCAGCCCCATGTACCCACACCCGGCTCAGTCCTGGCAGTGTAATGGGTGGTACGACAGCTGCGCTGCCGGGACCGCAAAACGGGCTCGGCCTGTGCATATTCCTGGGTCTTGTTCTGATAAAGGCGCTTCCTCCACACAAACGAGGTTGTGAAGCCTGCTGCTGTGATGAGAGACCAGGACTGCGCCAGCTGAGAAAACATTTCTAGGTTTGGGGGCGTGAGAGGGTTTTCCCGTGTACTCTGCTCCGGGACAGACGTGTTCTTCGTCCCTCCCCCGTCAGATGGGCTGTAACTGCTGCCTTTGTGAGACGGGAGGGTTATGTCAGTGACTCCTCAGACAATGGCTTTGGGTCGGACACCCCGAATGGTGAAGCAGTTCCCTCCCCCGTGTGAAAACTCAGGACCATTCTCTGCCTCTTCCAAAGCATCAGAAGTTAGGCAGGCCAACCGCTTAACTTCCCTGTTTCTGGACTCGTCCCCCATCTATATCAAAACACAGTGGCCACCTGGATGGATAAGGAATTGGTGGCATCGCAGTAAGGTGATTTCCTAAAAACATCTGCAGAGATTTAACCGGAAAACATGTTAAAACTTTTCTTTTGCCAGATGAATGAGGCTCAGACCTCCTTCATGAACATGCTAGACAAGAGGGTAAGGCGAGCGGTCTCCCCAGGCCGTCCCTCCGCCCTCCCATGGACCCTGCACACAAGGCTGGGGGGCTGTCATCACCGGGCCCCAGCCATGAATGAGGGGGGACCCCGTCCCTCTGTCACACGGCCCAGCATCTCTCACCCCCGCATCACTGGCTGAGGTTTGAGCACTCCCAGAGTTTCCAACACATTTAAATGAAAACCAAGCACTTCAGATGTTTTGAGGCTTTCTGTCCTATTACGACAGTGTCGCAAAGCAGCAGACGTACAGCCTGAGAGGAGAGCCGAGGACAAGACACATGTTTCTGTGTCTCTAGGCCGGTGACATTCACTACTAGTCACCGTTTGTCACCAGTTGGTACCTGTTTATGATAGTCAACTATTTGAAGTTACCATTATTCTGGTCAAACAGAATATAGAAATTTCACCAAAACAGTGTATTATGTGTCCTTCTGAGAGTGTCACTTGTATGGGGGGCAGGGATGGGACCCTGGGCCACCTCCAACTGTGCCTGTCACAGCAAACAATCAGTGAAGACTGCCTGAAGAGAACACACTTAGGGTTGTTTTCTTTTTTTAAAGATTTTATTGGGGAATTGGGGGAGGGAACAGCGTTGGAGAATTGGGGAAGGGGAACAGACAAGTTGCTGTCCTTTGGTTCTTCAGTCTAGTTGTGGAGGACGTTGCTTCACTGGCCCATGTTGGTATTGTGATCATTGCGCTCTTCCCAGGAGAGGCTGATAGGTCGCCGGCCATTGGACGGCCGCTCACAGCGGTTCTTGGCAGCTCACACCGGCTGCCAGCTGCTCACGCCGGCTGCACATGTTAACTATGGCAGCCCACTGCAGCAGGGGCTGCAGCCTACACTGTTGCTGGAGACTCAGGGCAGCCCAGCTCCAGGTCGAGCTGTTGTTCACCATCTTAGCTGTAGAGGGCGGTGTCACTGGCCCCCATGTGGGATCCGAACCGGGGCCCTGCTGCTCAGGCTGGTGTCCCAAACCAGCTCTTAACCAACGCACCACTCGGCTGGCCCTAGAGGTTTTAGTCACCAATTTCCATTGTCTTCTTTTGGTTCCCTTTCCGAAAGTAAAAATAACCACCTTTATTAAGCTGAATTAGGCCAAAATAACACCCAGTACTGAATACAGAGTCAACACTGTGAAGTGTGAGTCCAGGCTCAGACACAGCATTCCTCAGCCCACAGCTTCATCCTGTGACAACATAAGGCTGTGAATTCATTAAAAAGCATCTATTAAGCACCTACTTAGATCGCTCCACAGCTAGAAACTATCTCCTAGGGCTGTGTTAGAACAGCTTCCCACTGAGGAACACACATACAATTTTTGCCTTCAATATTTTTTTTCATACAAAGGCACAATTTTATTTCACGTGTTGGAGTGACTAGATATTTTTTAAATTTCTGGCACCTCTGTTCTGTTGAATTTTAAGGAAGTGAGTAGTACGAATACAAAGTTAGGGTTCCTGAATAATAATCCCTTTGGGTTTTGGAAATGAATTAAATTACACAAAATGCACTTTCTGTTCTTATAGTCCATATGCTAGTTTTAGCCAGATCTTTGCCAAACATTCTAGGAAATTAAGAAAAGTCATCAGTGGGGTTTCAGAATCCGTGTGTCTGCAAATGAAGGAGGGGGGGTGGGGAGCATGCAGAACTGAGCAAACGGCCAGGCTGAGACAAGTGCCCACAAGGGCGGCCCGGACCCGCGGGGCCCTCGCCCTGCCGGGCAGCAGCGCCCGGAACGTGCTGAGTGCACCTGAGGGCAAAGGGGGCGCGCAGGCCCCTGTGGGCTGCGGGGGAGGCCGTGGTACACGGGGCAGCTCCTCTTTCACTTTTCTGTCTTGGCTGCACTTGACTTTGGGGAATAAGTTGCTCCCGGCACCCAGTGCATCCTCGTCTGACATCATACACGCAGAAATTAACTGCAGTCAGGTGTTAGACCTAAATGTAAGAGCTGAAACTATAAAACTCTTAGAAGGAAACACACATATAAATCTTTATGACCAGGGGTCTGGCAATAATTTCTTAGATACGATACCAAGAGCACATGTAATAAGAACAAGTTGATCAGCCAGACTTCAAAACTTAAAGTTTTTGTACTTCAAAAGACACCATTAAGAAAGTAAAGAGGGCCAGCCGAGTGGCTCAGTTGGTTAAGAGCACAAGCTCTGAGCAACAGGGTCGCCGGTTCGATTCC